TTGAGAAATTTAAAAGCCATCTGGATATGGTCCTGGGCAACAGGCTTTACATAGCCCTGCTTGAGCAGGGGAGTTGAACCAGAAGACCTGCAACCAACCTAAATCACTTTGTGATTCTTCAATTCAGTGAAATTATCACACTTTTATAGGTGTTTTCAGTGTTTGTCTCACATTTTTCTTGTCTCTCAGTACAGATACAGAAGCAACACTAATAATGCCTTTACTATATTTGCAAATAAAACAAATCTTGTATACCTGGTGGATTCTTACTGAGATGTTGGTCAAGAACACCAAAGGCAAGAATTTTAAATGACCAAAGAATGTTTCAGTGATCTGCTTTTGACTGAAAGTTTCCTACCTCCTCCTAGAAAGGTTGTTATGGATTTGTGGGCAACAAATGTCCACTTCACAGATACTGCTCATGGGGAACTAGTCACACTCTCAAATGCTGTTTTCTGTACAACACGACTGATAATTGCAAAGCCCTGGTTTTCCATATGATGTATGTGAAAAGGTAAATGGGACAAAAAGAGAGCATATGGACACTGGCAAATGAAGGATTTTTCCACACTGGGAAAATTCTGACTTCACATCTCCTAGTCCAGTGCAAAGATGCTGCTTGGTTAGCCAGTGCTTCATTCACGTGTTTCACCCTCTATGGGGAAATTCCTAGCTTTGGAAATGTAGACAGCCTGGTTAGTGCAAACCATGCTCTTGTCACAGTCCAGCTCAGGACTCCCCTGCTGAAGCCACCCCAGGAAAGCTCTTCCCTATAAGTCCAGCTTCATGACATAGCCCATCCAGGCACTCATGAGGTTCAGAACCAGCTGGCTCTCTGTGCTGGAGCCAGCCAAATGCTCCTCAGTCTCAGACAGCACAGGTTAGCCACTCTCACTGTCAATATAATGGAAGAATGGAAGGTGGTGCTGCTAGGGTCCACACTCTGTGACTCTCCACAGTGAGAACACACCTCCAAATCCCCCACACAGCCCACAGTGCCCATGGATGGCACCATGCTGGATGCACACAGCTGGCTCACATCATCTGAGCAGGCTGCTACTGGCAGGATTGACCTCACTCACCAGTGCAGCATGATTGCCACGATTTATTGTAATGTAGGAGGCTTTGGTGAACATAACTAAAGGCAAGGGACTGAGATGGAGCTCAGCCCATTTTGTCTCCTGAGCTCCTCTTTGTCATATCAGAGTGATTCCGGCTAGCTGGAGCTGCTGCAGCTTGATCATAAAGAGGAAGACATATTCCTTAAAAATCCCACCCCAAAACACTGTAAGAGTGATTTGAGATAGACCTGCACAGAATAAGTGTGCCATGCTTGGGCCCAGATAGATGTGGGAAAGGAAGAGAAAGGATGCAGCACAGGAGATCGAAAAGACATCTTCATCCAGGGGAGCAGGGATAAAGACAGCTCCAGCAAGGGCTGCAGTGAGGATCAGGTCTGCACTCATGCCAGGGGACATCTGTGAGCAGCTGATGAGTTGAGAGTTCAGAGGGAAAGCACTGGCACATGCTCTGCAGACCCCAATTCCAGAGGTAATGTTCTCAGCAGTAGGTTGAGGATGAGGGCACATGCTGAAAATTAAAAGATCAGGACAGCCAACAGTTTGGGAAACAAGTCAAAGAAGCACAATGAAGTTTAAGTATTTCCTTCTCCTTGCTAATTAGTCACGTTACAAGGCTGTCAAGATTCTCTTTCACAGCCTCTTTACCCCATCCTCACTTACAGTGTTCTCAGGTGTTTCTTCTTTGAAGGAAATAAAGAATTGAATTAACATGCTGACTGCAAACTGTCACTCAGTCTCAATTTCTTGGCTGTTGTGTCTCATTCTCAGAATCTCTTGCCTTGCCTTGTTGAAAGATAAACTCTTTGGGAAAGGAACTGTTCAGTGCCCTGGGCTGTAGTGAGAAGAAACAGTTTTTCAGCTGGGTACAGAATTACCAATAACAAAAATATCCTTTTTCTTATTTATGCTTGACAATTTTCAGAAGTCATTGTCTTGTGTACAAGTGTGGTTATGGGTGAAAAAAATAGCTTATAGCTACTTGCATGAGTGATGATGCATTGTCAAATAAAAAAAAAAAACCCCTATAATTAGTGATAATATATGAATTGAATGCTAGACTCCCATGGTTTGGTTCTCAGACACTGATTTATGATTTACAAAAACTGCTTATAGCTATGATCTCCATGCTGCCATTACACCAAACCAATATTTCATCTCTATCTGTACATCTCCTGGGAATTTTAAGCGCAATCTGAGCATGCAATCATCCAGAAAAGGAGGAAACATTGCTTTTATGTCATGGTTTATTTTCCTTTCTTAACTTTGATTTCTACCTTGAAGTTAGACCAGCTAAAAATGTACAAAAGTTGTTTCTTTGCACTTTATGATATCTTTGACAAAATGATCTTTAAATTTCATTTCCAGAAGAATGATACAGTTTATGTTTAAGAGAAGTAAGCTTCAAAAAGTATTGTAGGGAACATTATATTCTCTTTGCTTGTGTTGAGGTATGGTGTCATTGATTTTGAGCTTCCAACTGATATCAGACAAAAAAGAGCCTTTCTTCTGAATCAGCTGCACTTCAGAAGTTGCAATTGGAAAGAAAATGGATCCATACCTCACTATATTTAATTCCTCAAACCTAAGCATAGATCCCATAACTTTCTCTCAGTCATTTAAGAATCTTTATGCAGTCCCACTGTGTTTCATAGTTGTGTGCAGCCATCAGAGAAGGCTGCGGCATTGTTTGCTCCTGGTTTCATTCTCTGAGGTTCACAGGAACAGTGCTTTGGGTTTGAGCTTCCTGGTCTGAGTTTAAAATTTTGGACCTACAGACTCAGAGGGAAATGAAAGGCAATGCCCATGATGTTACAGAGTTGCACTGCAATACCGCACACAATGTCGGGCTGTGTTGGGGTGGCCCTGGAGTGGCCCGGCTCAGCCCAGGGGGCTGTTGTCACTGGGTCTGGACATGGAATGCCTTCCCCAGACACCTCCAGGTCCAGGTTCTAGTTTCACCACAGGACAGGGACTGATGGCGTTTTAAGAGGATTAATGTAAAAGTATTGCACAGGTCTGGTTTGTATTCTGCTGCTTTCCACCAGTCTGCGAAGGGTCCGAATTTGCACACAAATTCCCTTTGTGAGTTGAGCTGCCTCTCTAGCTCTCCTGAGTTTGACATGTGGAAAATGGAGTACCTGCATTTGAATTTTAAATTTCTTGTATTACATGGGAATTACCATTAGTATTACTATACTGATAGTGCTTTAGATTCACTAAATGCCAGCACTGACTTTCTTGAAGCCAGCTTTACAACCATCTCATATGCAGTGACATAACTGTGAAGAAACTGTTGTGGAGAACTTTGCATGCACACAGCCACTGTTAATAGAGAGAGAAAATAATTCCAGGGGTTTTATTTTGACAAGCAGTGTCTCTGTGGAAAAAATAATGTGTAATAAGCACTGTGTGTAGGACCGCCAGCCAGAGTTAAATGGATAATTCTTATTTGATATTCACATACATTGCATAATTCACTTGGCAATCACAAGGTCTGTTTATCTTTTAATACTCTCATTTGGATGTGATTACGAGATATTGTGCATAAAAGTAAAAAAAAACAATGCTTTCACTAGAAATGTTTTAGATTTAGTCAATACATTTCAAAACAGAACTTTTTTCATCTGTCTTCTAAGTTTCAAAATACTCTTTATATTAATACTAGTATTGTCCCAAGTTGTGGTATAAAAATTACCCTTAATGTCAATGTGTACCATGACATCCACAGAGCAGAAAAACAAACTTTTCCTACTGCCACTTGGTTCTAAACCAACTTGTTTTGCAACAGATATAAAGAGCTGTGCCACACAGCCATTTAGGGAAACTAATTTCATCAGCAGGCATGGCAGTGTGCTTGCCAGGATTTTTTAAGCCAAAATCTCTCAGCAGCTTTTTTTGGAAGGATCAGCATAAGTCAGGCTGACCGTAAATTCAGAACACTTCCTTTACTGTGTGGCTGATCTCAACATTTAGTGAGCACATGCAATAGTAACCACTTTAAGGATTTATAGCTGTACTTGGTAAGTGAGGAGGTATAAGAAATACAGCCGAGCCAGCAAGACTTCAAAGTTCTACTGTGATAGATCTTACTGAGAGAAAGTACTGCAAAGCTGTCAATAGCTGCTTGTAAACAGTAGAGCTTGAAATAGGGAAAACGTGTTTTTTCCCCTGTCAGAATGGCACAAAGGCTTGGCTGAAGCCCTTGCCTGGCCTATCCATCTGGCTGATGTGAGAAATGAGATATCGATTTTTCTGATACCATACAATCAGAAACTAAGAGGAGCCACAAGGCTAGCAAACAACACACAGTTTATTACATCTCAATGAGATGCTGGAAAACTTTTGCAACATGTATCTTTTTATTTACTAAATAAAACTTGATTCACATTATTAACAAAAGAAATGTACAACACACACCTCTAGATTTGCTTCTGGTGAGAATTGATATAGTTAGGAACTGGCTTGCTGCAGCATCCCACGGTACAGAGGATTTGTTCCTGACAGGAAATAATTCCTTTGTTAAAATAAGGTGTAAGTATGAAATGTTTCAGAATCACTCCATTACATTAGAAGCACAGTTGCTGCTCATTTCAAGGAGATGTGTGCAGCCAAACCCATTCTGCATCTGTGAAACTGTCAATCTAAGCACCCAGAATGATCTCTTATCTAGAAAATAGTGATCAAGAGGAAATCAAAGTGGAAAATAGGATTTATTATATATTATATTATATTATATTATATTATATTATATTATATTATATTATATTATATTATATTATATTATATTATATTATATTATATTATATTNTATATTATATTATATTATATTATATTATATTATATTATATTATATTATATTATATTATATTATATTATATTATATTATATTATATTATATTATGAAATCACAGGGTAAAGTCAAGAGTACCTGTAGGTACTTACAAGAAATTAAGATCTCAAGATACAAGAACATAAGCTACTTCATTCTCTCCACTGAAAGTCAACTAGTTACAAGAATCAAAACACAATAGTTTGAAGATCCAGAAACAGCAGCGGGAATGAGAACAACATGCTCCTGGCCTCAGTAGCAAGTTTGCATTATTTTATCTCTGCTAGAGAGACATGGTGGCTCAAAACTTTCTTAATAAGCCAAAAAGTCCCAGAGGGCTGCAGTTTCCCATAGGAAAAATATATTTTAATCATAGACCATAACTTTTAATGATAATCCAGCACTCACATTCTAAGCATCTGCTCTGCTGACTGCCCTTACTTTAAATAGCCACGGCATCAGTCTGTCTGCATTTAAATGAGCAAGGGGATAAACAGTCCTTTTTCAATTTCCCAGAGTGTTGCCAGTGAGAAGGACAAAGGCCCAGCAGGACGGCCCCAGTGAAAGGCACAGATCCCCATGGGCAGGCAGGCAGGCAGGGAGCCGCTCTGCTCAGAGCACCATGGAGAACACCATGCTCCTCCTGACAAGAATTTTTCTGGGAGTTGTTTCAGAGCAAGCCAGTTCAAAAGGAGGAGTTGAATATTCCTCAATATTTCCCCAAAAAACCCAACCGTAAATGCAGATCCTGACCATGTAATCATATGGGAGGAGATAAAACATGAAAAAACCAAGTCCAGCAATTTGCATAAACAACCCTCACAATGAGACAAGCCTCATCATCTGTACATGTATCTAATTTGAAGAAAACATGTGAGACATGGAGTCCAACCTTGACCAGCACTAAACTGAGAACATGGAGTGGGTGAAACTCCCTTCTTTGTGCCCTTTATCTTTGTTCAGGATTCTGTACCCAATCCTGGAGCACATGCTAGCTAGCCAGGTGCTGTGGGTACCCCCTGGGCACAGCATGCACATCCCCTGTAACAAGGTCAAACAAAAATTCCACCATCTCTTCAAACCATTCCCATGCAGGTCTCCTGCAGGTTCAAATTGGGTCAGAGCTCCATGAAGGCGTGTGGGGACTCCTGTGCCCATGTCACCCTGGGAATGTCCACTCAACCCATCAGTGGTTTGCAGACAGGCACTAGGGAGGAGGTTCTTCTTAGCTGGACTGTACACTTTGGGTTTTTTTCTTTGTAAGTGTGTCCTTCCAAAGCCAATGAGGACCGAGGGCTTTCCCAGGAACTGAACACATCTGCTACATTTTTTGTCTGGAATACTGTGTCCAAAACACTGTGTCCCTACTTTGATGAATAGCCCTTCTACTCTGTTTTGCTGCTCAGGAGAGAAGAGCTGTTTAACTACAACCTGTTCTGTCCTGGAGAGCTTCACAGGACCTGACACTTTCTTCCTTCTATGGAAACATGTTCATTCTTCTTTAAAAATTCAGTATATCTTTGAGAGGTTCATAAGAATTTCTTCTCTGGTTCATTTTCAGTGGCATTCTTTGGCATTACAGAGTTTATTACAACTGACTTCTGATGAGAGAATTTTGATCCAGAATCCCATATGGCTTATGGCCATATAAGATCCAACACTAAGTCCCTCTGAGCCAACAGTCTGGTGGGCTCTTGGCTAGGGGAGGATAGAGGTACACCAGTACCCCCCTGGCCAGCTCATCCTGGTGTCACAGGCCCATGCAGGGCTCATACCTGCAGACCCAAGAGCACAATGGCTGAGTGCCAGGGCTGAGCCAGCACGGGCACAGTGAGGGTGTGCTGCCAGTGCGTGACCCTGACCAGCACCAAGATGGAGCAGCTGTTAATGGAGGCTCCTGGCCTGGGAGCCAAGGGAATGGCTCTGGGAGTGGGGCATATGGTGAATTCATGGTCTGAAGGCAGGGAGCCATGGCAGGTTCTCCACCCTGGGGCCACCAGGCTCAGCACTCTCTAACAGGAGTGGTTTACTCCAACCCTTGCTTTTGAGAAATTCTCACAGGCATCTTGCGAGTATATACATCAGGTCAGACATAACTGACAAGATGCTTGTTTTAGCTCCCATCAAGGCTTCAGAAGCTGCTAGATGCTCAGCTGTCTAGCACATATAGTCTGACAAGTTAAACCCACCCTATTTGCTTGGGAGAATGCAGGTGTTTGCATGTGTCTCAGCTGTACTTCCAAATAGAATATTAAGAAGTGTATAAGGATGGTATAGTTTCAAATTATCATTTCAAACGGTGTAAAGAAAGTCAGATGCTTCATGTTCCCCATGACTTGCTGCCCAGCAAAGGCATCCTAGGAGAACTTCTCTCTATTTTCCAGTCTGGTATTGTCCATTTTGAATGAGTTGCTATGTCTTTTTTTCCCCTTTTAGCTTCCAGATTCAAGCCTAGAAGTGTATTTGTTCAAAGTGGTTATCGTAAATAATTGAAATACACTAAGAAGTGGAAGTTTTCATTGGCTGATTTGTACAGTAGGGAGAGTAAAGTGGTTGTGACCTTCTGGCTCTATCTTTGACAAGCATATAATTGGAAGGCAAGAGGGAAGCTCAAAAGCATGCCAATACATGGAAAATGAGCCACTTTTGCTTATGATGATAAGACATTGTTCTTCTATATGGTTTCTCATTTATGCAATGCACAGTCTCTTTTAACAGCTTAGTTGGTTTTTCCAGATATTCCTCAGTGGCTTGTTTGGTTAGGTATGGCTTGGTTTTAGTGGTCAGAGAACCTGAAAGCAATGCAAGACAAATGAGTGAAAACATTGTGCACACAGTGCCAGGAACCTCAGGAGATAAACCTCAGGAACACAGAAAAACAAGAGCAGGGAAAGTAAAAAGGAGGAGAAAAAATGTCCCAGATGAATTATTGTGGTTTTTTTTCTGTCCCACTAATGGTCCTCAAAGAAAGGTGAGAAGTCCTTCACATAGAATTGAAGGGAATTACTTCCTTTGTTTTTTAATTATGAACTAGAATTGGCTCCCTTATTGGTCACTTGAACTGCCTGTGAGCTCATGTCCTCTGCAGTTCATTCACTGGCTTTAAATCTTTCATGTCAATGTAAATAACTTCTGATCACAGAGAGGACCAGGTTCCTCACCTACCTGTCGCCACCTAAACATGGGAGGGACTTTAGGAAAAAACACCATGATGCCTTTGATTCTGCTCATCTGCACTGACCTAGTGCTTCGAAATGGTTTATTATTTATGGAGACAATCTTAGGCCTAGTGTAAAATACTTTGTTCCACTGGAAAAAACAAACCATACTATATCAAGCATGAATTTTATAGAATTTCTTATATTGTTAGCTCTTGATGCATACTAGGAAATGCACTTTGCAACAGTCCTTGTAGTCTCCGTGTCAATTTTTTATTAATGCTTTTCCTGTAATTCTGCATTTGTCTCTAATGTAGGTTGGGAGTAAACTGAAAGCTCTCCAGTGACTAATATGGCATTTTTGAAGTTTCATGGATGTTAACAAAAGACTGTGCAGTCCAGTGAATGAAAGCTACTCAGTAAGTTAAAAATGACACTAAGATTATATCCCATGTATATATTTTTAAATTAAAAATTAAATACTAAGAGACTGTGACTGTAAGACAGTATTTTTAATAAAATTTAGCAGTCCATGAATGAAAATGGGAAGTGCATGATCAGCTGCCATTCTGCTATTTGATTTTCTCTAAATCTGTGTGCATTGGCAGTGCTGAAAAACTCTTGACATGGGGCCCTTGTTGTGTGGAATTCAGCTTGCTGTCTCCTCAGAGGCATTCACTAAAGGGCATCTGAAGGTGATGGTGCAGGGCTTGGGGGGCACACTGATGAAAGGTCCTCTCATCTACCACACGCCTTGCAGAAACTGGACATCCAGGAATGCAAGTGTTTTGGGCAAAAAGGAGACTGAGCTCAGTTCTAGGCTATGGTGCTTAGCTGGGAGGGGAGATGGATTTTTTTAAAAAAAATCAGACTAAAAAGAAGCATAGGGAAAAGGAAAAGGTGAGAATGGGACCAGAAATGTGCAGGAGGTTATGGCTGGGCACTTACTTCCTGGGCAAGTGAAGAAGGAAACAAAGAAGGGTCTTGCACTCCAGTCTGCTCCTTCCCAGAAGAGCACTGAGACAACACAGCTCAGCTGCATGCAGCTTCTTTTTAGGTGAGTGATTCTAGATCTTCCCAAGGGGTCCTTGAAAGCAAACATCCACCTGATTCATTACTGCTATTTCAGAGACTGCTCTCTGAAAATTTACAGTGCTGAAGCAAACATTTAAGAAAAAAACATTTCTCTATTTCTATTAATTTCTTCGGGCTAAAAATTTTATGATATATACCTTACAAATTCAAGTAGTGATAGAGTTATTTAAAGACGGGCTTTGTTTTGACAAATGATGCCATTGTCCCATATCAATAACATTGCCAGTTCTAACAACACACATTATCCAGTGAGCTTATATATCTATTTTCTTTAAATACATTGAAAAAAATGTTTGCTGCTTTAATGGGGTACATATGTATAATTATAGCATAGGACTTGTAGGAAAGCAATATAGATTTGAGGAACTACTGCTGTACTGTAGAGATAAAGGTACAAGTGATTAAGAAGAAAAAATTATATTCAGAGTTCAAAAGAAGTTTTGCCCCAGAATAAATGTAAATGAGCTTTCTGCTGTTTCAGGGTTTGGGGTTTCTTTCTGGGCTTGAAGTTCTTATTCTGACCATACAGGAGGGAAAGTATACACAGCCATACAAATAATACAATTTTGTTCCATTTGAACTTTGGCCTATCAACTAAAAAGGATGTGAATTAACTGAGGCTGCATAACTAAGCAGAGCTAGGAAATGTCAGCTATGTTAATGAGCAAGCAGACATTTATCAGGCAACCACTGTGAAAGTAATCTTGCTAAGCCATTGAAGATAAACCAACAGGTTTATATATTTTATATATTTTATTTATATTTGCATTTGTAATTAGGGACACCAAGGCACACAACTTGGTGTGGACCCATGCTTTTCTCAACCATGGCATTTCAGTCACATGTCTGCAAGTCTTTCTTGTTCTTTGTGTCTGTGATTTTTTGCATCACTGCCCCTAATTGTGCACTCTTTGGAAAGCTGCCCCATATCAAATGGATCCTTTTCTTTAGGACACTTCAAGAGACACAGACAGGGCCTTCCTGACATTGCCACCCAAGTTTTCCTCTCGGAAACCAGAATACATTAAAGATACATTTGACTCATTTTCTTTTTGCCTCAGTCAAACAAAATAGGTCAAATTTATTTCTCATTGTCATAATTTTCACGTTTATATATATTTATAGCTTCTTTGAACTTCATCCCGGTGGAGAAAGTGATGGAAGAGAACATCTGCACTGTGCCAGTTATGATATGTAAGTGCTCCAACCATACTAAAAACAATGGGCTGGTAGCACTCTTTCATTTAGCATGTGAATAAATATTTCAGGGCCTGGCTCTGTGAGATGTCTTCCACCAGAGGACTGCACATGATCCCCAGCATTCCAAAAGACAGTGTAAATCTAACCCACTCTGGGGGAGCTGCCTGGATGCTCCCAAATACACCTGAACATACATTAACCTGTTGAACTCCGTGTTTCATGGGAGCCCCACAACCAAGAAGACCAGAGAGAACCAACGGGACACCTTCTGGATCCCTGGGTCGTGATACCTTTCTACTAAACCTGTTTCTCTGCCACTCTCTTTCTCTTCACCCCCTGCTTTTTTCCTTTTTCTTTCTATCTCTGCCTCACTTTTATTACTAAATAAAATCCTTGCTATAGACTTCAGCATATGATCAGTTAGCACCTTAATTCGGGGGGCACATTGCTGGGAGATCCTTCCTCTCTTATTAGAGAGGTATCCCTCCAATAAACAAAATAATCAGATCTTAACACAGGTCCTTATATGAGGGAAAATCTCCACAGACTTCTCTGGGTCTTGGATCAGCTCCCTGAAGTCTGTTGGTGTCTCCTTGGCAGAGGTCAGCAAAGCAGGGACAGCAGCATCCCTAAACTCTCCTCCACCGTCCCCTGGCCATGTTCAGCTGCCTTTAATCACTTCTGCAACATGTCTAAAGCTCGGCACCAGGAGTTTTTCAGTCAAAGACACTTTTTTATCCTGAGGAAGTTTTTTAACCACTGGCCAATATCTGCACTATTCAGTCAGTGCCATCTCAGGATTTTCTGGTGTAGACCAGTACAGTACTCAGCAAATGCACTATAACTTCACCTCCAGGTTTTCCTCTGATCTTACTCTCAAAATCTGAAAAAAATTTATTACCTAATTCGCTTGAAACCATTCCATATATTTATTTTTGAACACGAAAAGCGTTTTGGTGACAGCGAACTCTCTGCTTCTCTATTTTCTCATAAATGTCCATGTGTCTTAAGTTTTGATTCACACCAGGCAGGCAAGGACTGCAGTTGACCTTGTAGTGATTGATTGTTCAGAATCCAGGTTTACACTTATAAAGTAGATTATTGCAAACCTGCCAGAACGTAGCTGAAGAACACAATAAAACACAGAAACTATTTCAAATACTAGATCAAACACAGTTTTGCCTTCATTATTATGTGTATTGGGCAAAATTCATCTCTCTGTAATATTTTCTTTTGCTGACCAGGTGTATAAATTTCAGGAATATATTTCATATGTGAACCTTAAATTCTAATAACTAAAAAAATTCAAATTCAACAGCTGAGAAGTTTTATGTGCAAAAGGATATTACCCACAAGAAGCAATTCAAATACATGAAGCATGCAAAAATCCCTTGAAAGATACACAAATGACAAAAACTTGCTATATAAGAAACAAAAAGATCACTTAAATGGGCCATATAATGTCTGAATATCTATAGCTTTTCTGGGAATTGATGAAGCATTTTAAATTTCAGTATAAGGGGATTAAGAAATTAGACCTGTGATTGTGAGGGTGCAAACTGGCCTTCTGAGCTGCAGATTTTGGAAACTGCTTCTGGTAAAAAAGCACAGAAGTGGATTCTTGGTTTGCTTTATTCATTCAAAAAGAGAACAAAGTTAATTAGAATTTCAGCAACCACTTACTCAGTTTGGTTCAATTTCCAGAGCAATAGAAAATACAGATGAACCTGAAATGTGAAAACTGGGACTAAGGTAAGAACTTGACTCCAATATTTATCCAAATTCATTGGCCTTAATTGTACAGATTATTAGGAACATATGCACAGTGGGAATCCATATATTTGAGTTTTTCTAAAGGGATGGTTAACACTACCTAAAACCTCTAAACCAACATGAGTGATCTCCAGCCCAAGGAGTGACAAATTCCATGTAAGAAAGTTTGAAAAGGTGGGAGAATAAAACCACCTGTTATGGAAGCCATGGAGAGAGAGAGGCCAACACTGAAAGCGATCTGCCAGGTACTGACACTGGAGGCCACAGAGGAGATGGGGGTGGGAACAGCACCAGATAATTCCCATTATTGTGACAGGGATGCTAAAATGAAATGCTCTTGCTGCTGAGGCTGGGGGCTGCCCAGAGCAGGCAGAGTGTCACTCACAGTGCTCAGGGTGGGTTTCTGCTCAGTGCCGGAGGGTCACAGGCTCTGTGAGCTGCACTTCTCCTTCCTTTGAACGCAACAGCAGCCAAACAGCCTCTCAAGCTTACCTACAGAGGAAAGAATAATTTCTTCCTCACCTGCTGAGTTCTTCAAAGGAGCATCAGGGCTCATCAAATGTAATAATTGCGCAATGGAAATTTTAAATTAAAAAGAGACTGATTTTAAAAAGATCATTAAAGTAATATCAGTGTTATCCCCTCAGCTTGTCACCAGCACTGTCTGCAAGGCCAAATTTTTACACCTTCTTCATTACCTGACTTTGACATCTGTCACCACGATATTTTCTGAAAAATCCCTTCGCCAGGATTTCTTCTCCTGGGAAGCTGAGAGGCCTCAGAAAAGAATGAAAACAATAATTACCTGATTGCTTGGGAATGTGGTCTGGAGATCGTTTACCAACAGGTGCATCTTTGATTGCTTCCATGTGAATTGCTTTTAATTAATGACCAGTCACCATCAGCTGTGTTGGACTCTGAGGAGTCAGGCACGAGCTTTCATTATCGTTCTTTTCAAGCCTGCTGATGAATCCTTTCTCTTTCTTTAGTATAGTTTTAGGATATGATATGATATGACATAACATAATATAACATAATATGACATATATAACATAACATCATATAACATAACATCATATAATATCATGAAACAATAAATCAGCCTTCTGAGAACATGGAGTCAAATTCACATCTCTCACCTCGTCCTGGGGACCTCACAACACCAGACACCCATTTGTCACCAGACTGACCCGTCTGGGCTGTGGGTTGCACATGTTGGGGTGATATGGGAGCTCTTGGGACAGCACCAATCCCACCCCTGCATCTCTTTGCACTGACAAACCATGTGACTTGCAAAATCCACACACAGCATCCAAAAGGGGAGGCTTTGCCTTGCTTGCAAGGGTGCAAGAGGAATCAGTATGAGCTGGGTCATTCTGGTCACTGCTCATGGAGCACCCAACTACCTAGAGCTGATAAAACCAGCAGGATTACACCTTTGGGTAGGCTGGTGCCTACAACAGTCTTGGGCAGGATGCTCCAGCTGTGATTCAGTGCCTGCTCCAAAGGGGGCCACACCCATCCTGCACTGGCCTTTTCAGGCTTTTTGACATTTTTAACAAAGGCACTAAGAAAATAAATAGGAAAATGCTGTGGTTCAGTTGGTCAGATGAAATATTCAAAAGCAGCATCAGCTAAGGAGCTTCTTGTGAAAACTAAGGTTACCATGCACAAGGCTGTATCCCACTTCTTCTTCAGAGCAGCAGTCATTAAAAGAGGACAGGAACAAGTTAACATCAATGAGATTGGTTTTTTTGTTTTGTTCCCTCTTCCTCTCCATGAAATTTCTTTCCCCACTGTGAAATTGCAGTGGAGTCTACTTTGTTGATCTATTTAGATGGAAGCTCTCTATGTGTAGTGCTGCAATTCTAGTTATTCTGGTTTTTATATATGACTGAGTCCTAAAATAAGCCCTTAAATGATTTTATTTTATAATTCCAAGTAATACTGCTGATACACACATGACATACTGAGAGTTATATTTGAATGGTAATATGAGGTTACTGTGAAAACAATAACTATGCTTCATCTCAAATTTTGAGTTTGGCTATACTATGGACAAAAATTATGCAATCAATAGATTTTTATTATTTGTAGTAGTAAAAGTTGGAAGTTATAGAAATAATCTATGAAGAGATTAGTAGGATATAGGGATGTAGATCTCCTGCTATAATAAACAATGACTGTTAGGTATTTTAGAGACTATATAATTTCTGACAATAAGAAAATACTGATTAGTGCAGACCTAGATGAGTAAGTGATTTCTGCATTAGCACCTTACTGTCAAAAAGAAAAAAAAAGTGAAGTACACTGACATGCTAGTGGCCATTCACAAGGCTGATAAACAGCCACAGAGCAATGAAGAACAGTTTTCAACACCACCTTTTCCTTTTCAAGCTCTCTCTAAAATGCTTCTCTTTACTCAAAACTGCAGTAGTACACTTTGTTTTTTCTCCCAGGACAGAGGTTTGGCCACTATGCTAAATCAACAAGAAGCTGTTAATTTTTAATTGGAAATTAAAATAGCAACAGGAGACATAGCCAGCACTGTGACTTAGTGAACATGACTGCGGCTTGGGTAGAAGACACAACTGCAGTGGCTTTTCACTGGTGCACTGAAGGAGAGACAAAGGCCACCCACTCTGGAGATGCCAGAGCTGCTCTAGCCTTCTTCCTTGTGCTACTCTGAAACATTTTCTTTTCAGAGCTGGCAAAAGCTAGCTAGCGATTTTTAGCTTAAATTATTAACTGCTTTGGGGACAAGCTAAACTGCATTTGCCTGTGAGTAAGTTACACTATTAAAAAATAACTAGCAGAGCCCTACTTTAAAGCTGCTGCTATTTTTATCTGTGAAACCAAGGGAGTTCCCTCCTGTCGAGAGGGCATGTGAGCTCAGCACTGCCATTTGCTGCACTTTGGAGAATCTGAGCAGGGGGAGATCCTACTGCAGGCACATCCTGCATCTGAAGCCAGCTCAGTGTGGCTCATGAGACTGAGGTGACCCAGGATGAACCTGCTGTAGGCCAGTGGAGCTAATGGTGAGATCCTATGCTGGAAATGAAGGAGGGCACTTTTACAGCCCTCCCTGTAAACAAACACCCACTTTTAGGCGTCCTATAAAAAAAGCAATGGCTGGTATTATCTCTAGTAAATTTGTATGTACCTGAAATCCACAGGTGCACAGTAAGGTCCCTTTTCAACAGTTTTACAATGCTGCTGGATTTTGTCAACTTGTTTCTCCATAGCACTGAATTCAGCATTGTAACTGAAGACATCTCTGCCATTATATCTGTAAGTCTATTAACTTAGGGCAATTACTCTGCAGAGAGGTGACAATTCCTTTATGGAAGTTATTGAATTTTGGTACTGCAAACAGTGCATCAATAACAAAAGGCCAGTAAGACAGCACAATGTACCTGCATCATGCAGAATTGTTTTGGGGTTTTTTTATTAACTATATTGTCCAACAGATAATTTAGGCTTAGAAATTAGACACCAGTTTTTCATCATATTTAAATTTACTTTTCAAGGAAAATTAAAAGCACAAGGTACTAATTACTGGCTGGGCTGAACAGGAGGGAGATGGCGGAGGGGGGAAGAGAGGGTGAAAAGGAATGAAAATGAGGGTCACCAATATGCCTTCTTGGAGTTTGCTGACCTTTAGAAGAACTCCCAACTGATTAGTAACCTTAAGCATTGATAAATTAGACAATATTCACTGAGTCTATTCTCATTTTTTATTTAGTAGAGACTTCCAGCTTTGTTCAGTAGTATGACTTCTGCTCTTTACATACAGGCAACACCAAGTGTCTCTCCAAGGATCAGATTCAAGTTTTAGCTATTACCTTATGTCTCAATTTTTGGATTTTTGGCCTATTAGTGTACAACCCACAATAGTAGAAAGATTCTCCAACACTCAGGTCATGGTAAGCAACAAAGAAAATGGATGGTATTTTGTCATCTATACACCATTTCAGTTTTGATTAAAAGCTGGTACCAAACACCAGCATTTATTAGAAAAAGGATTGAGGGAATATTATGGAGACAATTTTCCTTAGAGTTCTCACATTTGTCATAGCTCTGAAATCAAAGTCAGAGGATGCACAGAGCTAGATTAAGGACAGACACCTGCCTCACCTGCAACTTTTCTATTCACTGCCAAAACAGGGATGCTTACAATGTTCTGTGGATATCTGCTCTACCAGCTCTAGTGGTTCTCTTCAGAGCTTTGTTCAGCCACTCACAGAGCTCAAGGATTCTGCCCTTGAAAAATGTTTATTCTTTAAAAAAAATCCTCTGGTCTTCATGCATTTGCTATGTCTATCTTGTACCTATTCTTGAATTAAATTGAAGTGCAGTTCTCGGAGGGTACACAACTTCTGCTAAACCTTCTCTCAGTAACAGGCAAGCAGCAGCTCATGAAATCCACTGGAGATGTGCCTCAGAGTCTGAGGTGAAAACCTGACCTCCTGACCATTACCAGCAGGCAAGAAAACATTGCAGAGAAAGCATCCTTTTTGGGAGGGAGTTAACTCTCTTCTTTAAAAATAGTGATTGCAGATTGCCAGGAATAGGACAAACCAAAAAAAACCACAACCCTGTGAATACTGTTATTTGTGGACTAGGTGAGGAAAAGGTTTTATTTGGCCTGGACATCTTTATAACTTTATTTTTTCAATGTAAAATATCCATTTGGGTATTTTTCCCCCCGATTTTTAGTTTCTTGGACTTTAGACTATTAGTATTTTGTGGCCTAGCATCTCTTGCATCCTCTAATCCAAAATCATCCAGGTTCTAGGGAATACCTACTGGATACATGCAATTGCATGAGTTTCCTTTGATCTCCTGGAGTACATGAAACTGAAGTAATATCTGTTTACAGGAAATAAATCTGTTTTTTAAAACCACATACATGGACCTCCCTTAAACTCCATATCACACAGGAGCAATATTATTGGAATTTCTGCCGGTCCAGGTTTCATGACCATCTACTGAACTTGTAAGAGAGATGGTGAAGAGCAGCAAGGCACTTTAAAAGAATGTGAGTACTAAAGCAGCCTTTAAAGAATGCTGTCATCTTGGGCATCTTCCTCCTCTCCTCTTTTGTCTCCACTGTTTGTGATGCATTCTTTACAAATTCAGCCTTTTTAGTCTGCAATTTGTAAGCATTGCTTTATTCTTTATTTCTCTTTGAGAATAACACAGGTTTGGTCACGTAGCCTCCTTTATTCGCTGTCCCAACAGAGCAGTAGTGACAAAAGGGTTTGCATTTTGCAGTAATCCTCAGGCATTAAGACCCTTCACACAAACAACAAAAACAGCTGCAGAGCTTATGGAAGACAAACCAACCCTTGGCAGCTGGAGAGAGGAGGAATTTGGAGAAGATCCCCTGAAAATCTGAACAGATCCAAGTCACACACAAATGGTCTCTACTGACTCTGCCAACACCCCACTGGCACATAGGGGATCTTTGGGAATGTGAATTTGCTATTTAATCCACTGTAATGACAAATTACTTATGTGTATCTTAACAAAGATAAGACATGATAGGTATAAGGCTGTGCTGGGCATAAGCTCCCACACTTAGAGGAACTA